GCATGGAATGCATGGTTCCTCCAGGTGACATCTATAAGGCATCGCTGACTGCATGACAGCTGTCACCTGCAGCTGTAGACTGCCCTTCTGCTAGCAGCATGTTCTTGGCTCTGCAGCCTGCTTGGATCACAGACCTCTGATGCAAAGGCCAGCCACTCCTCACTGAGTTCAGCTGACATCACACAACTGAGGAGATGCCACATGCTAGTGGCGGTTCCATTTCTGTAAACGCAATGGATTTTCCAGGCCGTCCGCTCCCCCTCACACTGGGCTATGTTCTTTAAGACCATTTTGGATGCTTGGAGCACACATTTGTCTAGTGTAAACATTTCAAAATTGCCACTGCTAACTGCAGCATCATGTATGTGTGGTGAATGTTAGTGGCAGAACTGTCTGCAAGATCCTCCTTATGACTCCTCTCAGTGACAAGCCACTGCAAAAGCAAAAATAGGCCATTGGACACAAAATAATAGAAACACATAGCTCACTTGTCAAACTGCTGAAACAAGCTAGGCAAAGGCCTGAACATCAGCTCTGTGTGACCATTATTTAAATACAGTCTTCAGTTCTGCCTGTGCTTCAGGATGGAGACTCTGACCTGTGTGGCCACTGCAGAAGCCACCTGCTGCCTCCCTAGCTAAGCCAGTTGGCCTCCACCTTCCCTCTCCCAGTTATTTTCTCTAGTGCTGCTTTGTGCTGAAGGAACATTTAGTTTACTGCACTTGATCTGTAAATGGACTTTGATTCTTTGTAATTTTAGAGGGTTGGATTTGGTGGTTAATTTAAAAAAAAAAAAAAAAGCAAAAAAACCCCTCAATGTTGCCTTTACATCACATATAAATAACTGTGTTTCTCTTTTCTTGAAGGGTGATAGAAGCACTGATTAGTAGCAAAATCTTGTTTTAGCTTTTGGATTTTTTTGTGCTGGATTTTTTTACGTGTAAATTTCCAATAACATGTCATTTCTATAAGATTTGTTTAAAATCATGTACCTCTTATTGGATGGTATAAAAATGCTACATATTTTGTAAACAAATCTCAGCAAAGTGTGTGTGCATATATTCTGTATATTCATATATGTATATTCTGTGTATATATACACTATTGTGTATATATACCTATATACACACACACGTATATGTATACACACATGCATATGTGTGTATATATATACATATCTATATAACTATATATATATATGAGTGTTTTCTCTTCCAGGGTAGTGAAAACAATGTGGTGCATTGGCGTTTCCCTCCCCTCCCCACCAAGAAGATAATGACAATTGACTCTAATCGAGTGAATTAAAAAAGAGTCCATTTAAGCTGAATGGTGTGCCTTCCTGTGTAAGGAGTCTGGCCAGTTTTGTTACTTTTGCAGTGGATATGTGAATTCAGAGCAGTTAAGTATAAATCTTTAAACTTGATATGTTTGTTTGAAGTGACAGGCCTGGTTGACACAGGTAATATTGTTGTCATATATACCTAGACTGTGTAAGGCATTTGACTGGTACTGAGTAATATTTTGACTGAAAACTAAGATTACAAAAATCAGCATGGCACACATTAAATGGATGAAAATGTGGCTAATTCATAGGTCTCAATTTAATTTTAAATGGTGCTTAATTTAGTATATTTCCATCAGGATCTTCCAGCAGCCAGTTCTTGGCCTTGCTTTATTTAGCCTTATTGATGAGTTGAAAAGAAACAAAATCTGCTTTTAACAAAGGTTGAAAATTAGATGAGTACAGAAGGGAGACCAGACTTGTGAGTAATGAAAGGAACAGTTCACTGATAAAGACTGATCAGAATTACTTGGTAAAGTAAGAGCAAGTAAACTAATTGCATTTTAATAGAGTCAAACATACACTGTACATTCCCCATCCTAATAAATAATATTCAGGCCACGGGTGAAGGACTCTGTTTTGGAGGAAAAGTCCCTCTGAAAGAGTATAAAGGTCATTATATGTTTTCTCTTGAACACAGCTACTTCATAACACAATTCTGTGTGGCTATATATATAGAAAAAGAAATCTTTAGTAGAAATGGGGAATTGATATTACCTTTATACTCAGCATTGGTTAAACTTTTTTAATAGGAACACTCTCAATGTTGCTATTGGCTACAAAAAAAAGTGCTAAAAAACAGGAACAGGGAAGACTGGTAAAAAGTGTGAAGTTCCATCCTATGAGAAACTAAAATGTTAGACGTAAGAGTAACAAAGGTTATGTCTGCTGCTGGAAATATTGAAACCAGTGCTCTCTGCTTTCCTTGAAGGATGTGCTGCTGCTCAGACAGGAACCATCTCAGAGAACATCATACTGTGTTATGAATATCTGTTCTTGTTTGGTGTGTAAGTCCGGGGCAGCATGGTCTCATGTACAGGATAGACCAGGGGGCTCTTTTGGGGTTCTTGGCATCTTCTCTTAGCTCTGCCAGCCAGTGTGTAGTGCCAGAAAAGTCATCTCGTGCATTTTTTTCTGCTCTTATCCTGACCAGTGGAAGTCAATGCATTTGTTTCTGTTTCATGCAGATCCAAACTAAGCACCTTTCAGAAGCTGGTTAAAGAACTCATTAGGACAAAAATGTCCGAGTTGTTCCTGCAGTAGGAGGTAACCTGGGTATTAAGAGAAAGGAAGATGTGGGACTAACTGGAATTATCTAGCCATCCTGTCCACAGATCTGTAATGCTTTTTAAGTGCTGTATAGTTGTTGGGGCAGCAAACATGTTGTTAAAGTGCCCAGTGGGACATGGCAGGCAAGAAAACCTACATGTTCTTGAACCTGCATTTCTGTATCAGTACCGAGACTTTAAAGAAGCAAGTCTCACCACCCAGGCCTAAATGTGACAGTGCTCCTGGTGATAGACCTCTGCTTCCCTGAGGATTTACAGAACAGCTGTTTTACCTCTGTGCCTGCTTTAAGTAATTCCTACATCTTCCAGTATGGTTGCTTTGCCTCTGGGCTCAGAAAAACACCTCATTAGTACTTTCCCATTCCAATTTTAGCTAATAGACACAAAGGTCTTTCTTCAGATGTGCCCAAGTCTTGGTAGGAAAACAAACAGGACCTTTTTGTGTACCGCTATGGTCACATCCATAGAGTTCCAGCATGCTCTTTTGAAGGTGGTGTTCAAGTTTTCAGATTGATAATAGCTGTTGCCTCTGGAATGGGTACAGCAATATGGCATATGGTATAGGATTGATAATTTGTCTTTTAGGAATAAACATGAATGCTGTTGCAGACCAAGCCAAAGGGGAGAAAGAAAATTAAATACTGTTGAAGGGCTTAGTATGTTCTCCATTGGGCACTGTTAAAAGGCTGAAGGCTAAAGCTGTGGGCTAATTGTGTGATGCAGGATGTTACTGAGAAGTTCTGCAGTCAGACTGGAGGCTTAGGCCAGAATTGGGTACCGTTCTTAAAACCATTGTCCGTATTTAGAGGTGCTTTCTTGGAAGCTGTCACACCAGGCAAGAGGTGGTTTCTTTCATTACCCCACTGAGAAAGATTTACATCATTTCTTCTAGGACCCAGCTACTTGTAAATGGGTTGGAGCTGGAGACAGCACAAAGCCCAATGGCTCAGGCTTTTATTTGAGTCTGGAACCAATGTGGCAGCTGAAAGAAAACATGAACATGTGTGATGATGCACAGGTTTTATGGTAGATCCTGAAATTGTGGAGATACCAAAGTGATATGACATGACTTCTACGTGGACCTTCTGTCAAACCGCTGGATCAGAGTTCAATATAAGTAAAATGAAAAACTGCTGACCACTGCTGTGGAAAAGCATAAATCAAATCCCAAGTTTCTCTTCATGGTAACCTGAAATACTGTCAGAAGTGCATGTTCTCCTTTTTGCTCTCATTTAATACATATATGAACACAGACACACAATCTGGGAAGAATTTATTATTTTTTTTGTTCCCACATGTGCCAACTCCTGTGGCAAAGAACCCCAGAGCTGTCATGGAAGATCTGTTCACATGCCTGCAATGGAATTAAGCACAAGTTGCATTCAGTGCTAAATGAGTGGCCAAACCTCTGGGGGCATGCTCTGCTTCCCTGATGGTGCATTTGTGATCATTTCCTTACAGAGAATCTGGCGGTAGGTTGTGGCATCACCTGAAGGTTGCTGTGTCTGTTGTGGAGTGACTGCACAGCTTGTTTGACTGGTTACATCTCATCAATATGAGTGGTACCCAGAAATGTAATTCAGAGAAGGATGGACTGCAGCAGCTATATTCTAGCTCTAGAGTAAAGGACAAAGTACTAAAGAGGACTGTACTAGATACTTTGTTGCATCTCTTTTCCAGGTATAACAACATTTTTTTCAGCAATAGCACTAATTTTTAGTAGTACAAGAAAAATAATCAGGAAAAAACTTGTGTTTTTTTTTTTTTAAATAATCTACCTCCTACTATCAAGAAGTTCACAAACTGAATCTATCACATACCTATGCCTCCTCTGTGGTGTATCCAGTCAGCTGGGAAGTATCAGAGCTTCAGACACTCCTGACAGCCCCAACTACATTTTCTTCCAAATGAACTGAAAGGAGGAGGAAAAATACTGGTCTCCAGTTGCTGCAGGCTGTTCAGCATGAACAGTTTGTGACTCCTCTGGGATGAATACCACAAATAGGACTGTTGGGAGCTGCCATTAGCAGGTAAGAGTGAGCATAAGACTTTGTACAGGAGATGAGTACAACAAGCCTAGGTACAGCTCCTGCAGTCTTTTAAAAGATGCTTAGTCTTGTGCATAGCAGATTTGGGAAACAACTATTCTGTCCATCCAGTTTGCTCCCTTGTTCTGTTTCACTAACTGTGAAAAAAAGTTTGGAAGAAGGAGACGTTGTTAGGAAAAGCAAATAGGCATTTCTGGTTTTAATGATGACAGGATCATGTATTCATTCTTGAAAATGAGGGTACAGAACTAACATACAGGGAAAATGTGGCTGAACAGGACATCAGCTTTTCTTCCTCAGTCCTTGGTCTCTTTGTTTCCTCTAAGGTTTAGCAGATGCTTCCTCTCTCCATTGAGCTTTCTTTTCCAAGTTTATGCTTGTAAGGGTTTCATGCCTTTTTACAGCCTACAACATAATGACAAAGCAGGAGCAGAAAGTATCACCTGAAGGACCACAGAGATGAAACTCAAATCAATTGTTTACAAAATATCTGGCCTACCCTTACCAAGGCACAGCTTTGATGCCAGCCAGGAAGAGAGGGCTAAAACATCCAGAGACTATTTTGGCTTAAACTCATAACTTCTCTGGGAATAAATAAACCCTTTTATTAAAGCACTAGATTGTATGATTCTGGTCAGTACTTAAATACTAACACCTGGTCTTCAGAAAACAGAGGTACTGGAAACAAATCAGAAGTTAAACATAATAGGTTAGAACTGCTGTGTAAACAAGGGTCCCAAAGCAGCAGTCCTCTCTTGCCCATGTCTGCATTCATACCACATTGTAAGAGGAAAACCTTACGGGAGTTGTCAGTGTTTGATCTTTTCTGCCAAAGCCAGGGAAAAAAAAAACTTTCTACTGTTCTATTTCAGAGTGCTGCTTGCTTTTTTGGTAGGCAAATGCTGACAGAAATGTCACTTGACACTTCCATAGTTCACAAGTGTTGGGGCTGAGACTGTTACTAGTCTCAAGGTTACTCTAGAGCACTTAGTGGTCTATAGGAACAAGATCTGAACATGGTCATCAGAACTGCTTCAGAGAAAAGCAGCATACAAATAAGGTTCTCCCCACAGGTGCTTTAAGCTTGGGGTTTTCTGCTTTCAGTGATCATTAAAATAATTCAGTGCACTGTGCTTTTATTTCCACTGTGCTTTCCATACAAAGTACCATTACAATAAGTTGCACAGACTATATTCATATTCCTTGACTTTTAGACTAGTGCTGCTGAGTGACTTTAGCTCAGCTTCATTACACAAAAAGCCCTCCTTGTTTGTTTACAGAAATACCTCAAAGTTAATAGTTCACCAACTGTTAAAAAGTACATAAAATTAAAGCCTGACTAACCTTTGCTGCACGTGAAATCTTAAACTTTACACTTACTCTCTTCGTATGATGCAAATTAAATCACAGACATAATTCTACCACATGCTGAACTTCTTTCATATCTTGCCAAATTATGCAATTGAAAGATGCTCAGCATTGACAGGACTTTGGAGCTTTTCTATGAAATAGTTTTTTGATTCCACAAAGAAACCAAATAATTTGAGAAAAGTTGTTCTATCCACACTAAGGGAAGACTATTTTCTAATGCAGTTCAAGGGCACATAATTATTACCGACTATCCATTGCTGCTGGAAAAAACTTTTGGAAATTCTCAAGCCTGTTTGTGGAGAAACATGCTCATTTGGAACTTCCATTATATTGATTCTTTGAGTGTTATACAGCATAGAGGCATTTGTGGTAGGTCTGTCCATTCACTGGATGGACCCCATTGGCCCAAGGAGCATTCACCTGCTTATCAGGTCCTCACAACAGAAGATTCCCTTTTCTTTCAAACTCTTACAGCCCATCATTAAAATTAAGGAGTTAAACCAGCACAAGTTCAAATTAAGTATGGCACTGAGGAAAAAAAATACTATTTCCTTGTAAAGAAAACAGGCAGTCTTAGCAGTGATATCACCTTTTTCTAACTTCAGAATTAATCAATGAGGGTCACTTTTGGGGAACTAGAAGGACTAATTTTTTGCTCAGTGATAAAGTAAAAAAGAAAACCCACAAACCAAAACAGTACTAACAGTCCACAGGAGGAACCGAGGACATGACGGGAAGATTGACTTGCACTCACCAGCCAAAAATCCATGCTTACCTGCTTCCCTCTAATCACCATGGTTATGCATCCCAGTATTGTCAAGGCAATCATTACATAGCTGAACTTCACCCGCAGTGTGGTCTTTGCTGCTCTGACTGTTTCAATCCTCAAGAAATAATAATAAAAGAACTGAATAATTATCAGAGATCCAAATAAATCATTTGGCTAATTGTTTTATTTCTCTTGCCATGTTATCTGTGTAATTTTGTGTAATGCTAACAATGCTCGGCTCTTTCCACAAAAAAGGTTTTACCAGAATGGGAAGGCTGATCCTCATCTAACTTGGGAGATAAACTTGGTCACAAAGACATTCCACTCAAGGTTGGAAATAAAACAAACATTTTTGTCTGCTTAAGTGACAATATTGCCTTTCCAGGTCACTTGACTGCAATACAAAGGAGGAAGGCTGTGGTATTTAAAGTGTGTGTTCACTATGGAGAGGACAGGAAAAAAGAGAGGGATGGATTTAATAATAACATTTTTTTCTTAATATTAGCTCCCTCTGTGCTCACTACCACCTTACAGTATCTGCAGTGCCACGAAGCACCCTATCCATATTAGAACTGCAGTATATTTAACATTGTAAAATGGGCATTTTCACTCAGTAGCAGAAGTATGGTGAAAACAAGTTTGTAAGCCAGAATAAAAGACAGTTTTTAACAGTTGGTGTTTCTTGGGCTGAGGGAAGCACTACCACAGCTTAGCAATACTTCCTACCTGAACTTCAGAATAGTTGCATTTATGATGCAGTGTATTTTCCTGCAAGAAGGCTTCCTCTACTACAAGATTTGATAGTGCTATGGATTATGCACTGGCTGCTGAATTAAAATGCCTCAGAAATTCTGAATGGGACTTAGTTGAAGAGCATTGGTTACCACTTCCTACTTGCTAGGTTGAATAGTCCTAAAGTTACCAGTTTTCCTAAGAAACCAAGGAGGCATGGAGGATTGTAAGCTTTCCAACATCAACTTTGGACAGAGGACTAATTTAGATTATTTTTTTTTATTTAGTTATTTCTCAAGGCTTACACCCCGAGGGGTAGCTACACCCCTCCTTTGGGAAATCTGTTCCCTAGTCTACTGTTATCTTTTAAAAAACAGAAATCTTCCACAAGAAGAATATCGGCTACTAAAGCCTTCCAGCTGTACATTTGATGAGTTAATACAAAAAAAAATAATTATTATTTTAAGTTGGGTTAAACTCTGAATATCATTCTACTCAAGTGACATGTCAGTTACAGCACATTTAAAGTTTGTATTAGAGATGCCAATGAAGCATAATGCTTTTAGATGTGCTTTTCACAATAACCAAAGACTTATACCCCACAGATTTAACTCCCCTAACAGAATTTAGAGCAGTTGATTCCCTTCTCAAGGAGTTCTACTAGTCTAACTGGTGAAGTCTGGCATAATATAAAATTACAGATGGCTGGAAATGCATCAACGTCATGCAATAAAAGAATAAATGAGTCAAACTAGGCAATTATACTCCAATACTAATAAGGCTAGTAGATTTAATGGAACTGGGAAATTATCACTGCATGTTTTAACCCTTGAAGAAAAGATTACAATGGATACATGATAGTTTAACATGGTAAATCACATAGGACCTGGGAACTTTCATTGTTTCTGAAGAGGAGGGCAAGACTGATTTGATCACTATTTCAGAGTACTGATTTAAGTATGAGATTTCTGATCATAGGGAACACGTCCATCTACCATGAAACTAATAGTTAGATTTAGCTTCCGGATTACTTGTTCTAATGAGCTGCAATGAACAACTTGGGCACAGGCTGCAATTAAGCTAATATGCACAGAATTTAAGATTTTAAAACTTTGTTAACTTCTGAAGTACCTTGGATGTGTTACCATATACAAGAGGAAAAAGGTATCTTAACACAATTTGCATTTTACATCAATTCAGTGGCTACAATTAACATTTGTGTAATAAAGAAGTTACTTGTGATCACTGTATCTTGTGAGATTACCGAGTTCTATCACAAGCCCTTACAACCCACTCTCCTTTCAGCTCAGAAGAGGAAAACAAGCGTTTGTGCTTTGATAGTTCTCAATCATCTTCTCAGCTTTGGTTGAACTATTTGCTTAAATAAAAACAAGAATTCCCTATGCACTTGCTAAAACGGTCAGCTTTTATGAGAAGTTTTCTCCTTTCAATAAATCTTGGATATTCAATCACTCTGCTACCTCTGTTTTCTTAAAAACACTTGTAACTTGGTATGCAAAAATATATGAACTGACATAATTCAATACATTTTAGTAACTTTCACCTTTTTGTATTTCAAATCTAATTTTAAGAAAAGTTGTTCAACATGAAATGGAATAATTACTTTCTAATAGCATTTATCCATTGTGATATACTTAGAAAAAACTTAAGATACAGGGGTGGATTTTCAAGTCCCATACTGTGCATCTAAACAAAGTATATTCAGAGGTCAGCTACATATTTTGCTTACCTGAGCAGTACAAGATTTATTGTATCTCTTTAATTTAAATAAATACATATATATAAAAGCATTACAAGCATGTTTTAAAAGATAACTATATTACCACCAGGAATGTTTTTTAAACCAGGACTTGTCTGTTGTTATTAAGTTTGATCTTCATTTTAGATGGACAATTAGAACATCCAGTTTTATTGTCTCCTTTTCACCCAGGGCAAAGCACTAACATTTGGAATGCCATCAGCAACAGGGAAATTTGGGGTATATACATTAGTTGTTAGGGAGCCTTCCCACTGTTAGATTAAATTCCAAGAGTAGATAAAATTGGCTCAGGCCCTCCAGACATTAATTGATAAATATTTTAAATTAATTTCAGTTACTTTATAGCTATATCATTAAAGTTTCCCGCTATAGGAGACTGACACATGAAGAAAAACGCTACAAAAAGCTCACACTAATATTTGCAAAAAGCTTTTTCATTGGGAGAGAAGAGCAAAAACTAACTGATTTGTGATGTTTTTTCTAATAAAACAACTGAAAGATGCTGGCTGTTCTTTCAGAAAAAAAAAAGTTATCTCAGCAATTATTATCTCAGCAGTATAGAATTGCTCAGGTGATCACATCTACAGGATAATACATCAAACACAGCTGTGTCAGATTTTTCAGCTGTACAAACCCATTCCAGTTATTATTCGGGAGTTGCATTCAAGTAACTTATTCCTACACGGACAATGTCTCTTTCACAGCTTCAAAACTGACACTTACGAGACAGTCTCTGGTATATCCTCTGGCTTTTTGTAGTGGCCTGCCCACAATAAAAATCTTCTCTCCCAGTCTGTTGGCTTGTATCCAGGCACCCTCAAAGTAGACTGACCTACAAAAACCAAAGACACACACAAAACAAATAAAACCCAAACAAACCACGAAAAACATCAGTCAGAGAAGATTAATTGCCACAGCTACAATGAAACCAGTTAGGGTGAGCAATGCAGAATTTTAAGTAGGATTGCTAGAGTTGGTCAGGGAACAAAAGTGTATCACAGTCAGATTAACCTCTAAATATGGATTTAAATTGGGGCCATGTGTAAGGAAAGCCAAATATTGCTCAAGATATTTAGATTTGCAGCTCTAAATTTGCAGAACCTGCTCCAGCATCTAAGCCTCCTAAGGAGCTGTGACGTTATACATTTAAATCAGTTTAAAAAACTAGATAAAAATGGCACACATTGTATCACAGAATGTTAATTTTTCCATGGAGTGTAAGATTTTATCTGGAAGTATATTTTAAAAAAAACAAAACAACAGATAAGACCCTAGGCAAAGATTAGACCTCTAATTTTCAAGTCAGTCTTTCAAACTTCATATAGGAAAAAAGTACTCAGAATGTAATACAGGAAGGTTTCCATAAAGAACCTAACATTAAAATCCAGCAAATAAAATGCAAAGGTAGACAGCTTTCCTGCTCCTCATTGCTTTAAAACAAACAAACAAACCAAAAAACCAACCAAACCAAACAAAGCTCCAACCCAACAATGGATGGTATCCTGTATGGCTGTGTGCTGCCTTGTGGATTCATGGATTATCTAGGAAATAGAGCAGATAGACAGTTTGCTGACAACACTGTCATTCAGAAACATGAATCCTAAGTCAATGAGATGGCCAGTGAAACCCCACTTACATAAACAGGAAGCAATTCCAGTTCACATGCAGAAGACAGACTCTAACCTAACCAGTATTGCTGAGGAGTAAGTCCTCAGGGTTTTTGGCAAAATGTTCAGTAATAGTCAGAAAGGGAAACAGCATTATTAGCAATGATTAGGAACACAGACCAACACAAAAACATTGTTATGCCATTGTATAAAACCATTGACTCCAGCATTTTGAAAAACATGTGAAATGCTGATACCTCATCTCAGGAAGTCAAAAAAGAACTAGTACAGAGAAAACCAGTAAGGATGACCACAGGTATGGAATGGTCATCATGTAAGAAACTGTAACAGGCTGAGACCTCTGGCCTCAAAAAGCAGTAACTGAAGGTCCTTCCAGCACAAAAGGATTGTGACAATGGGAGCGTGGCTTATAATGAACAGGTCCCCTTTTGCAAGAGGTACTAAATAAAGGAACATCTGACTGGAAACATCACACACCAGTTTCAAAACCAAACACAAGGCTGTGCTTGTTTTCTCACAGCGTAGTTCAGCTGAGGAATTCCTTTCCAGAGGATATGAATGCTAAAAACCCAGCCAGCTTCAAGGGATTCAAGGCAAATTCATGAAAGAAAAGCCCAGTAAGGACAGGACCACTACACAAAGACGCCACCTCTGGGACAGCAGTCTAGGGGAAAAACACATTTGCCCTTTCTCAGTACTCTTCCTTAAGTCCCTGCTATTGGTCACCATTCCTGTTGGTCCTTCCAAAACATAAAGAACCTCCTTCACAGCCCACTGCTGGAGACATGACACTTGGTAAGGAGACCTCTGGTCTTACCCAGTGCAGATGCCTTACGTTTTTAACACAGAAGTATGCACAATGCTTCCCATCTATGCCCTCCTTGTATCTAGCATCAGTAGGGCATGAAGGGGACCTGTTACACAGGAAATCTCACGAGAGCATCATAACTGTCCTAAATACAGTGAAAAAAATGTTTCATGGCCTGAGCTTTGCTTAACCAACTCAATGCTTAAACATGAACCAAGTTAATGATTCCAACTGACTCTCTCCTGCAGGGCACATTCAATTTTCTGAACAGCTGGAGCTGGCTGTACTATGAAGAACTGCTGAAGTATTTTAGCTTCTGTTCCTAAACACTGATAGTTTAGAGTGGGGTTGGGCAGTTGGTTCTAGCCCACAGCTGAAGAGTCTCAGTGTAGCAATCCACATCAGGTAAGATACCAGTGACCTACAGAGCTAAAAAAAAAGTGAAGACTACAAAGTGTTATTGTCACAATAGGAAATACTGACCCCTGGCTTTGTTAAAAACCAAGATTTTATAGCTAAATGTAATGCTCTTTTTTTTTTTTTTCAGTCTGAAGTCAGAATTCCCTCTCACAAAATCAGGGATAGTAGCAACCATGTCAGTCAAAATCCTGTTTGGATGATTGCAACCTGGATATCTTAAGTATTTCGTAGCATAAAACATAGCATGATAGTTACTGGAAAACCTTACTTTTTGCCTCAAGTTTACTTTCTTCATGGGGTTTAATGCAAAGCCTTCTGCTGATCTTCAGATCCACTCCTTTCGTCGCCCTCAGAATTGAGGGAATATTTCTTCTCAACAGGCTAACAGCCCTATCTGGAAGAGAAAGCAGAGGAAGCAAATGGGCCCAGTTTAATTCAGAACTGTAGAAAGTGAGAATACTACCTTCTAAATGTAAGTGTTTGTGCTGGTTGTTGTTTGTTTTTAACACAAGCGAAAAAAGAACAAAAAACAACAGGTGCAGATTAATACCACACAAGAAACACCAGATTTAGTTACAAGAGAGCCTATCAAAGAAATGAAAGCTTGTCTATAAGCTGTGGCTTGAGCTTGCCCACGAGCCTTACTTAGAAAGGTGGCAATGCAAGATCATGGCCTACAAGCCCTTTGTAAAACACAGAGCTCCATTTAAAAGAACTTATCTATTCCTATGCTTTAGATATCCTTTGGACAGGACCGAAGTCTTGCACGGGCTGCCTGCCAGCACCATACCAGCCCTGCCACAGCCCAAAAGCAAAGACACGAAAAAAAAAAAGGCCAAAAAAAGTAGAATCTTGCCACGCTGAGGTATCAGATTTGTAGTGCCATAGAAAAGGATGGGACTCCTTGTATATGAAAATGTGCTCTCAAGAAAGTTGCTAATTAACTCATTAATATAATGAAAAAATGAAAAAAAAAAAATCAAACAACTTAGAAAGGTAAAAGAGCACTTAAAAAATGTAAACTGACTTACTATTTTTCTCTTTTATGGCGGCTGAAAAAGCCTCTCCTGTGAGAAGCAGCCGCCCTGTACTTTCTAGGCGAAACACCCGCAGCTCTGAACCAAAAATATTTACATTTACAGACGCCTCCCCCAGCGAAGCCAAACCCTTCCCGAGGCCTTAATAAAAACCCGGCACAAATCCGCTCCTTCCCTTCTGTTTTCACAGCCAGCTCGGAGCGGCCGGGCTTCAGGCCTCAGGGCCCCTCAGCAGGGCCCACACCCGGCACC